AGACGACTTTTCGCCTTTTTTAGACTTGGGTCTACCTCTAAACGACTCGATCGCCTCTAGGTCTTAGTGAGGTGGAAGCCCTATTAAGCCCTGCAGCGCGCATGACCCGATCTTTGAACGCTGATGTCTCAGCTTACACGCGTACAAGGATGGAAGAGACAAATCAAAACAGATTAGATGCTGACTCCGACTATTATAACGATGTTTTGAGCAGCCTCTTCTATCTCTATTGCTTTGCGGATGCATACGAGTGCGTTAAATTGCGTAATGACGTTATTAGCGCCTTTAGCGACCTTACGAAAGACGGATTGGCTCTCGACCCCGAAACGATCGCTTTTATGTTCGAAGAATTACCTCCTTCTTCTACTATCTGTTAATACTTCGTTAAGAGTGCTGCGCTGAATTGGGGCTACTACAGGGGCTCTTATCGAGCGCTACTCGAGGCTACACTGCTGCCCCAAGATTTCTTAGTAGAAGTTGTGCGCATTAACTATAAGATTGCAAGCAAAGGCAAAGGAATGGATGCATTATGCAACGAGATACAAGATCGCTGTAACTTCTACGAGCATGTAACGGAAGATGAAAAGCAGCTGTGTAAGTTAAGAATGCTTTAGGACGCGCCGTACATAGACGCTCTTATCTTAGCGTGCTTGGAGGTCTCGAAAGGCGATTAAATGACATGATGGATTATGTCAGCGCATAAGATATGCAATATTCCTTGAGAGTGGAGCTAACTACTGGATGCTGACGTGTTTAGTCAAGATTATTCTAATCTTGGCTAGTCTACAGCTATAACATGTGTCTTAAAGACCTCTTGTCATCTCCTTCCCTTTCTCAATAAATCCGACCCAGTCTTCTACGTCTCCAGCAGCTTCAATATTCTTTAGCCACTACCCTTCAATATAACATCGGCGATCCGCTGTCAACACTCTTCATCATCTCCACTCCCCTAGCCCACGTGTAAGCACACATCTCCAACTTTATTAGCACAACACGACCTACCGTTAAAAATACCTCCCGAAACTCATCCTCCTCTAGATCAAACCAATTCGTGATATCCCTATGACTTCTATCCCACGGCTACTTCTTATAAAGCCTACGAATAACCCCCTGATACACCTTAACCCTACTAAACCTAGCAGCGCGCAAACGATAAATACTCGGCGCAAACGCCTCTAACAGACTTCGCAGGACAGGCTATAGCGGGGGCTTGATGCAATAGTCTTCATCAGCTGCATGATGATCTATCTGGAAGATGACTACCATGTCTTTGTTAGTCAACCTAAGAAGGTTCTCGAGATTAGTTACGACACGCTGCGCGCCACCCCAAATCTGATCCCAGCTGAGATCAATGCGTATGTATCGAATGATATTGGCAGGCACGACTCCTCTTTTCCAGACATCTTGCGTGAGGAAACTCCCTAGCAAGCATGCACCCGGGGTGTACATTATGAAGCCGCCGGTGCGGTACCAGTGCTCTGCTATCTCTTTTGCAACCGCTTCACCCGTGTACTCGGCGTACCTCCAAGTATCGCGACGCATCGTAGGGTCTTCAGGTAAAGGCGGTTGAGCGTCGAAGAAAGATCGGCCACCGTGATCGTGGTGGAAATGTCGACTTGAGCGTATTCCAGTATCTACCTCACGACAATCAACAACGTAATGTTGCCTGCGGGGAGGAATGAGATGGTCGTAGACCATGTCCCTCACTTCGCGAGGAAGGGCTGCGCGGAAAGCTGTACAGAAATTGAGCTGAGATTGGCGATGTTCTTCGTGAAGCGCAAGTAAGCGGGTCGGGCTGTCGTTGTTCGGTTAGATGTATGTTCTTACGTGGAGTGGGTGAAGCGTACTCGACTGGATCAGGTTTGGGATCAGGTTTCCGACGTGGATATTTTCTACATGCAATCAGTCGCCTGTTACCTTACATGAGACTTGGACAGTATAACATACGTCTTCCGCTCCAGTGCGTGTGAAGAGTCATAATGGCCGATCTTCATTGCGGATCAGTGGCCAATGGAACAGACCGTCAGTCCCATGCGAAGTTACTGGAATTTGGTAAGCAGAAGATGTAATCAATGTTCATCTTCGATTGTAGGGGCGCAAGCGCCTCTTATCACCAAAGACGAGAAGATAATTGTGGCGGAGTCATTGATATGCAGGCAGCAAGACGCGAAGGAACACAGCGCTAGTCCGGACGCGTACCTGGGTATCAGCCAACCGAGGCTGCAGCAGACATATCCTAAGTCGCACGTCAACCTAGGGAAAAGGTGAACATCCTAGGGTCTATATTGATCTTAATACACCTACTTTGCATGTACTCACGTTCATGTGGTCTGCAGACCTGATCGATTTCCATTGTATGAGGTGGTTGTACGAGTTATGAACTCATGATCATACATACAGAGGATCATCGAGCGAAGACCTCACCGATGCACATATCTAAAACCGATCCTCTTCCTCAGCGCCGCACGCTCCGACAGCTGCTCCGCAACAAAGCGAACACTAGGCTTCTCGATCTTCCTAGCGCCCTCCCTCAAATATCTGCTGTGTCTCGAAGCCGTGCGAACAGGGTCTGGGGTGTACGGTGTCGCATCGAACCTGCGAACCAGCGGTATAGGCTTGACGTGGGTCTCCTTCGGGGCACGCCGACGAGCGCGTCGTATGATTTCCCTCGAACGTATTGATATCGTTGGTTTCACTGGCTTGTGCGAGTCGACGACGCGAGCAGACGGTGCTTTGCTGGGAGGGAGGGAAATGAAGTTGTAGGCCGTGGTGTTGGAGGCGCGCTTGCGACGGGGCGCTCGGCTTGTCGTTTGTGCGGTTGGTGGGTTTACTTCTCTAGATGATGGTTGAGAAGTAGTTTCACTGGGAGTGGAATTGTTTGGAGTCTCACCTTGGGGTTGAGGTACAGGCTCAGAACCCGTCGAGGACTCAGGAGCCGTGGTAGGCTCTTGCGCTTTTGGCGTCTTCTTGGCGGTAGCATTGAGTGCTGTAATGTCTGGCCTCCTAGAGCCGGGTCCCAGCGGTTTCGGCTTGGTATTCTTTACTGTGGTGTAAACAGTGCCCTTGACAGCAACACCTCCAGTCGGCCCCTCAATCCATACATCGTATATACTGCCATGTTGCAACTTCTTCTTCTCCAAGCCGCATATGCGCATCTCCTCGTCGCAGTACAGCGGCGCTAGATTGCGATATTCGATCGACTCCAGATCGTGCTTTCCCCCGGTCTGTGCATACACGTAATGGCTCATGGTTTTCAACATGAGGAGCAGGGAAAGAGGACCGTGAACTAGCAGGTTGCGGTGGCCTTCGACGTTACGAGCGTACTCGGGATCGAGGTGTATGCGATGGGCGTTGAAGGTAAGAGCAGAGAAGCGGAAAAGAAGGGCGCGGTCGGGAGTGAGGGCGTGGGAGAAGTCTGGCTTCCCAGGGGCTACATAGAGTCAGTAGATAGTCGAGAGGGTTGTCAGAGTACGCACGCTGCAGATACTTCACGGTGGCCATCTGCCCGGCCTTGACTGCCTCCAATTCGGCAGCGGGGCGCTCCTTGAAAAAGACAAGGTTACGCTCCTCCTTCACGATGGCGTCGCCCCAATCGTCGCCGTCTCGCAACTGCTGCTCGAGATAAGTCTTTAATTTTTTACCTCCATTCTTTCCCAGTTTACCATGCTTCGCGTTGTACGCTCTCCCTAGAATGTCCACCCGTGCAAAGCGCCGCTCGATCGTGACAAAGATCTTGGCAGTGTCGCCTTCTCCGTGCAGTCGGACATGCTTTATGTGCTCCGTCCCAGACATTGGAAAATCGACTCTAAAGCCACGGTTACGGTCGTAATACTCGTCGGGTCGTACTTGTATCGAGCCGCCAGCCCACATGCGCCGCACCCATGATCCGCCCGGGCTCTGCGACGCGTCTGTTCCATCTGGAAGTAATTCGGTTGTCCGCACCGCGGGATTGAACCATATCAAGTGATGGCCAAACGGCACCATGCGACTACGCACACCGGGGGCATAGCACCATTCTTCAGGTAAGAAACCCGAGATGCTTTGCGATAGCTTGAATTCGTGCGGAGTGGCGATGAACTCAGGAAGGTGTATGGCGTCTCGCTGCAACATTTCGGTGCGCAGCTCTTGGAACCATGGCGGATCCACCGAATTGGCTGAAGAATAGCATCGCAGCGGTATTCTTCGCCATTGCGTGCAATTCGCGTTGTCCCAGGCAATCCGACGTGCGCGCGGGGTCCGGAGCAGCATTGGGAAGAAGGTCTGCGGACATCGCAAGACCCGCCGCAGATGCTATCCTTGAAGTCTTGGCGGCTTGATGACGTAGGCGACTTGACCGTTTGAATGCCCATCACTTGTACGTAGCTTGACACTTCACCTATAACAACCATTGCTAACCTCCGACATGTGCCAGTCTTCATGTACTATGCGCTTGGAAAGCTGTGAAGATTCAGCAGCCATGCCAATCCAACCGCCAATGTCATGCGCGGCTGACCGCCTCACTGCGACCCACTTGTTAGCCACACCCATCATCTTCACACCGATATACCATAGACGTAGCTTGCATTGAACTCGCATCCTAAGTTCAAGCTTGCAACTGATATCGCGTCACGCGTCTTGGCGTGTTTGTTTGTGTTCCTCTTTCGGCTATCCACGAGCGTCGCACCTTCTTCACGTCCACCCCGGCTTCATCTTCACCGCCAACGCCATCGTTTACTTGCAAACAACGCCTTTACCTCATAAGCGAGTCTCCAGTATGTGTGCAGTCTACCAAACTCGTGGGTTGCTGTTTCGTCTGCGTCTGAACCGCGTTCGTCATGCTAAGCCACGGAAGCCCACAGCGACTGCCACAACATAGTCAGCCGTATACGCACGAGGTGACGGTTTCCATACACGTGAATAACGTGTCACCCCAAATTGTCACTCACCATACACCCCTGGGGCAGGAAAGTGCTGGACACCTTCACACCCAGAATATCACCTGCACGGCGATGACGAGCAAGATGGAGCTTCTGGAGTGTCCCATGTGTGACTTCACCGTGCTCCAGAAAGATGACTATATTCTTCAACTACACTTTGAGCAAGTGCATACCGAGAACTCTCCTTTCGTGATAGAAGACGACCCAGAACCGTTACCCCCTTCGTTGCCCCTCAGGCCTTCCTCACTCCGCCACGACACTGAGGTCACGCCTCCCTCTGACGACTCGGAAGAGGAGGAAAGCACTACAGTGTGCCCTGACCCCAACTGCGGCGAAATCGTTCCTCTCTCCGACTTCAACGACCATCTCGAATACCACAACGCAGAAACTTTATCATTTGACGAGACTACAGGAAAGTATCATTCTCATCATTCATCCGCTACTATGCAAGGCTCGACCTCATCTCGTCGTTCCCATGCAAGTCAGGCAAGGACCACAACATCCGAGCGAAGTTTCAGCACAGACTTGTCAGATGCTTTGAAGAGGACTGACGCCCACGGCCGCAAATCGAAGAAGCACCCACATCGGCATCGTCGCGACACCGATGAGAGCGAGAAGAGTACCATCGGAAGGAGTATTCTAGGCTTTAATCCTTTTGCGAAGCCCGATAAGTCCGTCAAGCCACCGATCAAAAGTGCTCGGCTAGGTGTAAGTTAATCGTCCTTTGGGCAGGGCCTAGCTAATCTCCGCAGAAATCGGAACTGGGACCCTACGCTTGGGAGAATCGAATGCCTAGGTGGCTGCACGATCAGCTGGATGCCGGCCCCAAGATTACTGCCGTCAACCGCATCGGCCGAGATGGCCGCCTCATCAAGCATGATCAGGTGCAGAACGAGACGCCAGGCATCATTCCCATCCTCGCGCAACTATCTGCTCTTGATCGGACCGTGAAGGAAGCATATTACTGTCATCCATCGACACTCCACGTCGGTAAAACCCCAAGCGAAGGTGGCTTCTGCGGTTACCGGAACATACAAATGCTGCTATCCTACATCCAAGGCGCCAAGGCTCAAGGCTACGAAGAATTCCCAGGACGGCTGCCGACTATTCTGAAGATGCAAGATCACATTGAAGATGCTTGGGATAAAGGCATCAACTCAATCGGCCGTGTCCAGACTGGTGGTATACGTGATACCAGAAAGTACATTGGCACACCAGAGGTGACATCTTACTTACCTTCAACTGTTCTCTACTAACATGTATCAGGCTCAAGCCTTTTTTCTCAACTCGGAAATTAACTGCGCTGTAGAGCAGTTCAGCGACAATAAAGATCGCGCCATTGCGGCCCACGAGCTACTTCTCGCCGCCATGGAACGATATTTTGCGCGAGCGGCTGCCAGCGACGGATCCAATGTCTCCAAGACTCTTTTACCGCCTATCTACCTTCAGCAACCAGGACACTCGATCAGCATTGTCGGTTTTGAGCGCCGCTTTGACGGCTCATGCAATCTGGTCGTCTTCGATCCCATGTATCTCACGAGTCCTGCGATGCATAAGCTGCTTGGTCGGAAAAGCATCAGGACAGCTCGACCCGAGGTTCTGTACGCATATCGTCGCGGAGCTGGGAAGCTTAAGAAATACGCTGCTTACGAGATTCTGATGTATGTTCATTAGTCGATAAGCGTTTGTCGCATGCTGACTTTGCTCAGGCTCACTGCATCACCGCCTTTGTTTCCCGCTTGGGATGTATGAGCATCCATCCTCAAGCCTGACCCTTGCATATAATAGCACAGTCCGTTTCCATGACATCTACTGAACGTTGCTCTTCTAGGTACTTCGTCAATTCCCCGAGTGCCGCTTCGTGTACGTCTTCTTCCGTGCACGCACCCTCGGATACGACGTGTATCCAGAAGACTATTTCCTACGAAACTTTCCGTGGCAACAGTACGGCGGACTGTGGTCTTGCGACGATGCTCGGTTCGCCCGAGCGGAGCCGATGAACCCACTCACAGCTCTGGCTCTACGTCGTATCACGGGCGAAGGGTCTTCGAGCTCCAGCAATACCAATAGTCCCACAAGTCCCACAAGCTTCTTCACAAACAGCTATTTTCAGCACATGCCAGCAGACGAGCATGATCGACTTCCTTCATGGCTGGGCTCGCTCGATGGTTCGGCGAATGGCTTTGTGAGCCCACCCCGGTACGGCGACAATAGTCCTGTTTACAACATGGGTACAATGAGCGCTGCTCTGCCTCAGCCCAGGGCAATGAAGCCACAACTGTCGCTTCTGACGGATGTTGGAAGAAAGTATCCTGGATTCCCCACGCCCTTGTCCCCTACCCTGCCGGCAAAGGAGGCTTACCCTTCGCCTGCATCTGACGCTGGAAACAGAGCTGCAACACCTCGCGCTATGAGCCCTGCAGTACGTACGGTGAGCCCGATGAGCATCGACGGTTCGGCCACGTGCTGGCCTTCTCTTCGTTGCGAGCCTCATGGACATGATCAGCATGCGTCACAGATGGGTCTCATCGACAAGGTTCTCTTGGGTCCTCAGCAGATGCGTAACGGATGCCGCACTCCATCAGCATCCTCGCAAGTCATTACCGGTCTCGCGAGTCCTCCAGCCAGTCCATCACGATGTGTATCTCCGCGTACGACCATGCTGAAGAAGTTTGCCGGAGAGCAAGGTTACCAAGACCTATCGCCAAAGTCCATGCAGGATCTAAGGCTTGAACTCGAAGTCCATCCCAGCGCTCGCAATCACAACGCATACCCAGCGTCTCCTCCTTTATCTATTCGCTCTTTCTCGTCAGCTTCCCACCGTCAGCCGGCATCGCCTTCTTTTGCTATCGCCAACGGCGTGGAGTCGGAGGCAACGTCACCTATTGATCCGTCCGGTACCATGCTCTTCTACACATCTAATCGCAGCGTCGATTCGGGCCTACTCGGCGTCTGCCCGCTTTCTGAACCCCAGGTCGCTGAGTACAGATTCTGGCGTCCCTGCGGGAGACGCATCTGTGGTTTTGGATGCGGAGGTGCGAATGTAGGCGAGGCGGCAGCCGCAAAGCGGCTGTTTCGACAAGCCGAGGAGGTCATCCCTGAGATGGAGGACGAGGTTGATAATGACGATGCAGGAATGACGCAGAGTGAAGAGCACGAGTATGGTCTCGATGGCCAGGCCGACAACAGTACGAGTGATGCAGGTCATGCCAATGGAGACGGCAAGTTCAGCACGAGCACTTGGGCCGGTCGTCGACTGGTGATGGACTGGAACCAGTTCTTGTCAGGCTGCGAGAGGGATGGCATTGCGCAATTCTGATTGAGTGCAGATGCGGTGAGGGGTATTGCTACGTCTCTATGACTTGGCGGCATTGCGACGGAGGTACTCGGGGGTACTCTGCGGTACTATGGGGCTCACTACAGGATCGTGATCGGGGGCCTTTTGTCTTTTGAGTTTATCTATAACACTCGTTCATTACTTGATTGCCCAACATGGAGTCGTGCTGTTCATCGTGGCGGTTGTGCCTTGTCGGGCACATGATGCCGCGTTCAGCTGCCCAAAGACGCAGGCGTGGCTAAATGTGGCGTCGAGATGTCGTAGGGCATAGTTCGCAACACTAAACTGGCGTCTGGATGTCAAAAATCTATTACGGGGCAAGTGACGTGCCTTGAAATCCGAGTCGAGCTAGGCTAGATGACCCAATCGGCGATGATGACCAGCTAATCACCCGGCGTGTGCAGCCAGCGCTGCAGAGATCAAAAACCAGTATGATCTGCCGGCCTAGACCGCGTAGACTCTCGTACTCATATGTCCTGTTCCTCGCCCCCAGCCCTGGATGCCCGTGAGAATTTCGCCGTCCCGGGTCTCAGGTCGCCTCTTGACAGGCACGCGCTCGTGGGGTGTGGTATGACGTCACGCGGATCTTCCTTCTCTCAGCACGCTTCTTCCTACCACCTGCTTTCGCTTTGAGACACGCCGAGCGCGTTCGCCTGCATCTGCGCCATGGAGAACCTTGACAAGTTGTCTGCGACGGGCCTGCCAGTGTTTGATCTGAATGCGGAAAACCTGTGGCGCAAGGACTGGTGAGAAGACGACCAAGATGCATGCGCTCCTGCTGGGCCCGTACTGACAGCCGCCCAGGACTAAAACAACCATCGGCTCGCGCGAGTCGTGGCCTGTTGCATTAACATGTCTCGTCCACACGTGCGTGCTGCCCATGCCCCACTGCAGCGCCATCTTCTGGGGCCAGGACCTGATAGTTATACACAACCTCGCCTGGGAGAAGGCACGGGGTGGTCTCGATGGCCAGGCCACCCTCGCGCGCGAAAGCTACGGCCATGAGGCGCTCGGCACGCTACGAACGGTGCTGAGAGGGCGAACGGTCAAGGTGGGTAAGCATCAGCTACGACTATGTTTCCCGCATCTAGCCAACTGACCCTTCTAGCCGCCAGATATTTCCTCAAGGACTTCGCCGATGACCATGAAACGCAGCTTCTCCTCAGTACTATCTTAGACGAGAGCGGCACACGACAGGGCGTATTGGCCCAGCTGCTCGAGAACCGGCCTGTAGACCGCTACATGCCCATCGAGGGTATCGATGAATTTTCGCGCCAAAATCCAGGGAGACGAGTCAAGGACAATGAGTCTCAACAGAAAGGCAAGCACAACAGCAAAACCGAGCAGGCAGATTCCATGCAGACCAACATGTTCCAGCGCTTCGCCGAGCTGCTGCCCAACGGCCTGGCCATTCTCGACAAGGACGCCGAAGCCATCTTCGTAAACGACGGCTTCTTCAAGCTGACCACGAACAAGGGCAACAACGAGTTTCGATCGTGGCCGGAGAGCATTCACCCCGACGACTACGAAGACGTCATGGCTGCATATCGCAAGGCATTCGAAAGCCGCACAGAGCTGCAGATAGAGTTTAGATGCGATGTTGCTGAGCCTGAGGAAATGAAGTCCAAGGGAGAGCAGTGGAGACTTTTCTTGCTCAAGCCTCTGAGCGAGGAGGCTGATGCCGGTTTTATTAGCGCCGTTATCGACATCACCGATATCAAACATGCCCAATTAACCCAAGAGAAAGCTGCCAATGATGCCAAAGAGCGCAAGGAGCAACAGGAGAGGTTTATTGACATGGTTTCCCATGAGATTCGAAATCCTCTTTCTGCCGTCCTGCATTTAGCTGAAGAAGTGAGAGAGATTACCAAAGAAATTGGGGCGCAACACGAAGACATCCACGACCAGGTGGCCGATATCTTGGACGCTGCCGACACTATACTGCTTTGCGTCTCACATCAGAACACTCTTGTAGACGACATTCTATCTTTTTCCAAGCTCGACTCTATGATGTTGTCCTTAGTACCCCGACGTGAGTTTCCCCACAATCATAACGTATGACCATTTCACTAAAAGACTATAGCAACAAGACCTAAATGGGAGTTCTCCCAAGCACTCCGAGTGTTCCATTCCGAGTTCAAAGCCAAGAACATCAAGTTCCACTATGCTATGGACGTCTCGTACGAGGAACAGAAAGTGGACCATGTTGTCGCCGATCTGAACCGCATGAAGCAAGGTAAATCACTTGTGCTATTTTACCAAGCCACGCTGACGTCTCTAGTACTGGTCAACCTGATAACCAACGCCATCAAGTTTACTTCCAAGAAGAATGGCGACAGAAACATCACTGTATCTATGGGTGCATCCACCAAGCGACCTACGTCTTACCCCCCAAACGTCATCTATTTCAGTGAAGAGAAAGAGGCTTTCCACCTTGATTCCACAATGACATCGGAATGGGGCGCCGGGGCTGCCATGTACTTGATGGTAGCAGTCAAAGATACTGGTATAGGCATTAGCAAAGATGGCCAGGCCAAACTGTTCGAACGATTCAGGTACGTTGTCTCTCAAACACATCAAGATTACTAAGCTCACCATATGACAGACAAGCGACACCCAAGACACAGGAGAGATATGGCGGCTCAGGTCTTGGTCTGTTCATATCACGCAAATGTGAGTTAATGCCCCTGCTTCATACGCCTTTAGCTAATTTATGCCCAGTGTGCACACTGCACGGTGGAGACATTGGCGTGAGTTCGAAAGAAGGAGAAGGTTCAACATTCGGGTTCTTCTTCAAAGTACGTCGCGCGGTCGGCGAGAATGGTGAGGGGCGGCCGACGCAATCTCGAAGCAACTCGGAAACCTCAAACTCTTCCTCTCGGCCAGGAGAATCCGGATCGCGGCCGTCTCGTCCACCCATCAGTCGTGCAAACTCGAATCTCTCAAGCATCAAAGAAAGGAAGAATGAGCGTCCTGAAGCGAAGACGCTCGCAAGTCATGGCGGTGTGGATACTGAGGATGTCGATCCTTCACTCAAGCATCCACCAGTGGAGAACCATCCAGAGTCGCATCCGGACTCGAACGAGGATTCGCGCTACAAAGAGACGGAGAAGGCCACCGAGGATATCAGAACACAGAAGCCACATATGGAAAGGAAACTACCCGACCTAAGGAGAGGTGAGACGTCACGCCAGGAGGACGATGCGAAGGAGATTACGAGATCCCAGAGCGACCAGCGCAACGAAGACACACATACCCTTCTTCTCGTGGAAGACAACCTCATTAACCAGAAAGTGCTGCGACGGCAGCTCCAATCCCGTGGTTTCCAAGTGTTTACTGCGAACAATGGACAGGAAGCCATCGACGCAGTCGCCGAGCGCGGACAAATGGCGGACAACGGCCCCAATGATCGCAATTACTTCGACTGCATACTGATGGACCAGGAAATGCCAATCAAAGATGGCAATGCGGCGACGCAAGAGATCAGACAACTGCAGGATGAGGGCAAGGCTGGGTATAGCCACATTCTCGGTGTCTCTGCAAACGTACGGGAAGCGCAGACTAACAGCATGCGCGATGCCGGTATGGACGACGTCATCTCCAAGCCCTTCAAGGTCGACGATCTGGTCAAGAAAGTTCGTGGGTTGGTACTCAACGGCGGTGGTGGTTCAAAACATGACAACCGGCCGAATGGTAGCTCAGATACTGGGCAGGAAGACAAGAGCAAGAATCAAAGAAAGAAGAGTGCGAATCAGGAAGATGAGGGCGCCAGCCAGCAAGAGAAGGGTGGCCTTCATCCACAAGCCGCCGAACGACGAGATAAGGACGGGCATTCGAATAACGAAAGAGAGAACTTGGATCGAGGTGGCGAAAGGTCAAGATCGCGCTCCAATAGAACCGAAGGATCTCCGAAGAACGAGCCAAAGTCGCACGCCCACGTAACCGAGGGATCCGCAACGAACCAGCAACAGTCAAAATGAGTACTATAGCGTCCCGGCGGGCCTAGGGTACGTGTATACTCGCATTTGGATTGCACAGTGTTGTTCTCTGTGGCACTTGAGGTTCAGGATTGCATTGCACGGTGTTTTGGATTCGACGATCTGGACTGAAAGTTGGAATGACTGGATGAGAAATGAATATACGAGGTTGAATCACATTTATAGAAGGGACTGAGCGTTCCAGGGGATGGCGGATGGGGAGGATAAAGGGATGTGGTGGAGGCTTTTGCTGTAGCTGCCTCGCCTCTTGTCCGATTGCTTCAAGTTTATGCTAAGGGCTACGAGGGCTGATTCTCGTGCATTTATAAAGGACTGAGCGTTCTAGTTTTCTACTGTAGTATCTTCCGAATTTGAGTTGCTACACTATTGTCGGGGGAGATGCACTGCTAGTCATGCCCAGTATGAGAGTCTTCTCCGCCTATGGAGCAAAGTTCACTCGCGAGAAGAACCTTCAGATTCGAGCACGAAACCCAGGGGAGGCCTGGAAGTCGTGCATGAGGTGGAGTCTCCGATAATGCAAGAACCCGTAGGTACGCGAGTCATGCCTATGACATCCCACTTCCAGATGTTACCCCACCCTTTAACCAAACAAACATCACGACCGAACTCATCATCATGCATGCTAGACTTGCTTACATGCGCAGCTGCGGTCTACTACCTACTCTCCGTCCGCCTTGAAATCCTAACTAACATTTTACACCTCTCCTACCTAAGATGACGAAAGAATTCCAAGACAAGGTCGTCCTGATCACAGGCGCAGCAAGCGGTATCGGGTACGTCTCCGTCTCCCATCCTACCACCTCGCCCCATCCACCCCAGTAAGCCCATCATACTAATCCTCCCCCAGCCGCGCCACAGCCCTCAAACTCTCCTCCCTCGGCGCCTCCCTCGCCCTCTGCGACCTCAACTTCCCCGCCCTCAGCGCCGTAGCCTCCGAATGTAAAACTCCCACCCACCTCCGCAAAGTCGACGTAGGCTCCTCAT